GAATAATTGTCATTTTGAGCAGCGGTTTCAGGTATCAGTGTGTGAAGCATCACCAAAGCGCTTGTTAAATGTTGTTCCTTGATTTAACCATCAGAGGTTCTGTTTGAATGGGTCTGGGGAGGGGCCAAGGAATTGCAAACAAGCTCCCCTAGTGATTTACAGAGGGCCTATAGAACTAATTTTTGGGAAACATTGCCCAAAGGCTAGGAAAATAATTACAAGGAAGTTGAGGTATAGAAACCTGAAAGAGGAGAACTCGAATGAGGAACAGTGGTGATTCTGTGAATACGGCAGACCATGAAGGCTTGGGATAGACAAGATCTAACAGATCAAAGGGGTCAACCAGGAGGGATTGAGGGCAGGAAGTGGGGAAAGCGCATGCTCTCTGCAGCAGGTAAAGGAGTCACTCTGGGTAAGGAAGGAGACTCAGTGTGTGAAGCGGATCTAAGAGGGCCTTGAAACACGTTGTGGACAGAAAAAAGAAATCTAATGTCTGAAAGACTCAGCTCAAGCTCTGAGGTCGCCACTCTATGTCTACATCATAGAATATCTCTTTGGAGCCCTTTTGTTTGTTTATAACATGTGAACCCTTTGTACAAGTTATGATTGTGCATGTGGAAAAATTGTAAATTGCTCTCTCAAACTTCATTAACAAGCTACCTGTGGGAAAGAACATCCTAAACAATTTTGTAAAGCAAGTATGCAATTAATTGTCTTTCCACTATGACAAAACATCCCCAACTTTAGTCATTGGGGTATTCACCTCATAATAAAGCACAGAACTTCAGAGAGAAAAGTTATATATATTATCTTAAGTGGACCAGCACCCTCTCATTACAGATAAAAATTCACAGGTCTGAGCGGGAAGCAGAGGTTAACTGGTTTGTCCACAGTCATACTATTTAATGGCAAAGCCAAGTATGAAATTCAGCCAAGAGCCTGGTGTGGCGGCTCATGCGTGTAATCCCAGCTAATTTGGAGGCCAAGGCAGGAGGATCACATGTTTGAGTTCAGCCTGGGCAACGTGCAGACAGTAAGAGGAAAAGAAAGAAGGGGAAAGGGGAAAGAAGGAAAAGGAAAGGAAAGGAAGGGAAGGGCAGGGCAAGGCAAAGAAATAAGCAGAGAGCTAAAGCTAGTGGTAAGAAATAAGTGATAGAAATAAGCAGAGAGCTAAGTAGCTCAGTGGTAGACTGCTTGCCTAGCATCTGTGAGGGCCTGGGTTTTATTACTCAGCACTGAAAAACAAAAATTAAGCCAAACTCCTGACTCAATGCTCTACTCCCTCATGCTCTGTTCCTGCATTATAATACAATTCTTCTCTCAATTTTCTGCCCCTTGAATCTTGACTTCTTTTCTATAGCCAAGAGAAATGTAGATAATTAGAGCTTTACTCACTGGGGTTAAGTAAGAAGAGCAGGTCCAAGAGTTTGGAAGCCAGCTACTTGCAGATGCTCTTGACCAGTCTCTCCTCACTCTCCAGCCCCCAGGCGATGTCCTGAACTTAGTCTAGAGCCCCGCGGCAGCAGAGCATCAATCAGGAGCAGAACAACAAATAGAGCTGCCACACGTTGCGTTCAATTTTCCTTTCACAACTAAAAAGCTCTCCAAACCGTCAACAATAAAAGAGACTGTCATTGGAGACAGACCTTGAATGAGTCACATGACATCCTTGGCACACAATTATTACAGAAGGTTTCTATTTTATGACAAGGACAGAGATGCTGCTTCCCATCGTATACTCAAGCATTTGAACTTCCATCTCCCTTTCTAAGCTGCCAATGCAGACCAGACCTTTCATTCTCTGTCACTCAGCAGAATGGCTGTCCCCATATATAAGGATCCTACATATGGTACTGAATGAATGAACTCGGTCATTTAATCTGTAACTCTGTATCAGCTTACTTCTTAACAGAAAAATAAAATCTCTCAAAAATGGCCTTGCATGTGTTGTCTTTCCTCTTGATCTTAGACTCTCAAACTCTACCCTTTCTGGCTAGATTTTTATTAAACTAAGGAGACCATGTATTCTGCCATTCATTAGATAATTTCCTTGGTATGTAAGCTCTTATACCACTTTAGAGTTGACTAGTTAAAAGTTGAAAAACTGTTTGTACCCCTTTTTCTATCCCAAAAAATATTTCAGAGAAACAAGGAATACTCTTTATTTTGTGAACTAGTAATGTGATACATATATGTATTTAGTGTCACAAACATATTTGGAAAGACACCTTAAGAAAAGACACACAGTTTGTTGATAGCTTTGTTTGTTTGTCTGTGCTGGGGATAAAACCCAGAACCTTACAGCCAGGCAAGCACCAGCACACACCTATACCCTGTTCTTTGTTGGTAGATTCTAGTAAATATTAATATATAAGAATAGTGATGTTTCTTGATAGTAAAACAAATTATTTTTTCTCCCATTTTCTCCACCTTGTCTCACACTTTTACTTTTAAAAGAAGATACAAATTGATTCACTGTTGTTTAAGATGTCACCTTGTTCACTTTCCTTTCCCATATTTTAGGAAGCAGTTTTGAGTTTTCTTCATCATCATGTGTATCCTGCTTTATTTGAACTGTAAGCTCTTTAGAACAAGAATTGTCCTCTAAATATGGGGAGAGTGACATTTATTTTTAGTCCTCAGTACTTTTTAAACCTCCTCCTTTTTTTTCAAAGCAGCGGTGATAGTCACAGGATAATACTTCTCCAAAGGCAGATTATGATTTAACAAACTGAATAGGCTCATAGGGTGGAAATATGAAAAAATACAACATGAAGCAGAGGTTGGAGATGACTTTAGGTTTGAGTCCACCATGAAGAGGTATAGGGGGATAAAAACAGAATATGCTCTTGGGAATAGCTCCATGGGGGGGTCAAGGCATTAGGAAGAAAATTAAATTCATCAACCATTCCAGGGCAGACTCAAGTTTGTGGTGATAGGAAAGGCATGATTCCTGTGCTGCTACAAAGGAGATGTGTGTGTGCACGCACACACACAATGACAAGATAAAATAGACCTGCTAAAGATCTACAAAGAAGGGTATTCTAGGAAGATTGTTTTAAATATAAATTTTAGTCATTAAACGGAAAAACTAGAGTGCCAATATTCTAATATATGGGGCTTGTATTGGTTCTGGAAGTCACACGGGCCATTATTTCCCCAAACCAGAAGTACATCTTGTTTTGTATGCATGCTACTAAGTGTTTTATTTACCGCTTTTCTTAAATTTAGAGACATATTTTAGAACTGTATTTAAGCTCCTAGGTTACAATCTGAGCACTGTGAATGTGATTTCTTAAACTATATATTTTAAATGAGTCTCCTTTTATTTTTGAAATATAATATATCATGCATGAATGAATCTTGTAATATTCAAAGAGTCAGAGCTAGAAGGAATCCCAGTGTGGTACTATATATGGTCAACCTACAAACTTCTTGGTAGTATGCAAACATTCAAATGTAATAGCGGGGCTAACAAAATTTCTAAATGTATTGTGATATTAGAAAGACTCATTTTAAATGTTTTTATTTATAATGGTAGCATCCTATAAAGTCCACAGCTCCTGATTGTCTTGCTATTATATCTAGTGACGATTCATGCTAATATGGAACATTTCCTGCTCATTATTCATTGATTTAAAAAAAGGTCATTTTTTCCAGAGACTGGGCAGGAGATAAGATGTCAAGAAGCAATAAGCAGTGAAATGAAAGAGAATGCAAAGGAACCAAAAAGACAAAACATTAAAGTGATGTTATTTTCTTTCCTGTAAGCAGATGGACAGGCAAATTATAGCAGTAACTGCAGACTCCCTTTCATCAAAGACAGGATGGCCTTGGGGAATCAGAATGTGGGAGAAAAGTCCAAGCACAATACATTCTCATCCACGAGCCACTTGATTTATGGACAGGGCTTTGGCCAAGATCATTTACCTTTCCTGGGCCTTAGTTTCCTGAAATGATCAGAAAGATTATTTGAATGACTGGGAATATGAATAAGATAATGCTTCTAAAGCCATCCCAAACAGTGCAGAAAAAGAATTATCAAGTAGTACTACTACCATTGAACTGTATATTCTATTGGAATGAGTCATCTTGCTGCAGAGATGCATAAGCTATTCCAGCTGCGGTGGAGAGCCAGAGATGAGGTGAGCACAGCTTTCTTAAGGGGGTGCTGAGAGAAAAGATCTCCGTGGCAGAGGGAGACTACATACTCTCATTCACAAACGAAGGGGACCAGTGGAAGGAGCCGGACAAAATTAAGACTTGAAATCCCACAGCCAGTCCGATTCCAGGCTTTGCCACTGACTACTATGAAGGCGGGGGAATCACATTGTTTCATTCAACCTCATTTCCTCCATCTGTAAAATGGGGGCTCACCATTGTATTTATAGCGTGATTGCCGCGATTTACTAATCTACACTGTGGAAAAAACTCAAGTCAGGTAAGCTACTGTTGCAATGTGAGACAAGGGAAAGCAAAATCCATGTGATAATAAGTGAACCTTTCTTTTAAAAAGAGAAAAAGGTGAGGCGTTTTGTTTTGTTTACAAAATATCATAGGACCTAAGCGACCTAGGAAAAGAAAAACTTGTTTGGTCAAGCCTGCATACACTCGTATTTCATGAGTCCAAGGTAACTCGTTAAACCTTTGATATTTGGCACACAACACACAAACAAGGAAAGCCTTTCGTGTGCTTTCATTAAAAAAGCTACTTTAAAAAACGATATCTATACATATATTTAAAAAATCTGTTGGCTATCCATTAGCTCTCATAACTTTGCTCTGCGTTCTGTTGTTCCAAAGGGCGCCGAGAGCGCAGCGCGGACAGTGACCGAGCTGGCCCGGCCGCCTGCTGGTAAAGCCCTGGGGGAGGACGCGCCTCTCTCTGATCGATCCCGGAACCTTAGTGCGGGGCGGGGGCGAGGTGGGAGGGACCTGGGCGCGGTGGGCGGGGACTGGGCGGGGCCGAGGTCGCCCCTCCCCCAGGCGCGCGGCGAGGCGGTGGGCTGGCGGCCGCGAGGATGCCGAGGGGCGGCAACGCGGGCTGGACCCAGCCGGGGCGGCGGGGCGGGCGCCGCCCGAGGGGGTAGGGCGCGCGCGGGGGCGCGCCGGGCCGGGGAGGCGCGCTCGGGCCGCGCTCGCTGCTCCGCTCCCTCGGCTGGCTCGCTCCCTCCTCCCTCGGCCCCGCGGCGGCAGCAGGAGCGGGCGGCGGCGGCGGCGGGGGAATCAGACATGGCGGCCGATCTCAACCTGGAGTGGATCTGCTCCCTGCCCCGCTCCTGGACTTACGGGATCACCAGGGGCGGCCGAGTCTTCTTCATCAAGTGAGGGGCGGCGCGGGCTGCGGGGAGGGCGTCGTGCTGGGGGCTGAGGAGAGGGGCGGGCGGACGGGGACTGTGGCCCCGCGCCCCCCCCCTCACGCCGGCTCTCTGCCCCTTCTCTCCCCTCAGCGAGGAGGCGAAGAGCACCACCTGGCTGCACCCCGTCACCGGCGAGGCCGTGGTCACCGGACACCGGCGGCAGAGCACAGGTAGCCGGGCCGGGCGGACTTGGGGGTGGCGGCAGGTAGAGGTGCCGGGGTCTGCGGCGGAGCGCGCGCGGTGCTGGGGTGCCGCTCTGGGTCGCCGCGGGAGACGGCGCCCCCTTCCTGCGCCCTCTCCCCGTCCCGGCCGGGCCCCCTACTCCCCGTGGAGGGCCGACGCCCCTCTCCCTGAACCTTGCAGTCAACACCTAGTTTCCCCCTCGGCCGCCTTGACAAAGTCCTTTCCCACCCCGGCTGCACCCTGGGACCCCCTGCTTGGCCGCCGCCGCGGGGTATCCGTGTCCGCCCACCGGGCTGCTTCCTCCGCCGCCGCCTCCTCCCAGGTGGGACTTGTGGGTAGGTGGCTGATGGTGTAGGAGAGCACTTGGGGGGTGACAGGCAAGGGCTCGGAAACGCCTGGCGCGCTCGCTCCGTGGTGCAGGAGAAGCTGCCGGAGCCGGAGGAGGCAATCGCAACCACGATCCAGATTCAGAGTCCCTGGCAGCCGCACCGTGGTTGCATGGAGCGCCGGGAGGCGGTGGGCGAGCAAGGGGGTGTCCCGGGTGTGGGCACCGGGCCCCCCAGTTGCAGAGGCTCGGCGTGTCCACGGTGGGTTTGGTGGCGTGTTTGAATGCTTAACGAGAGTTGGGCTAGAGAAGGAAAGGCTCCTTGTCATTTCTGTGCTGGTCTGGCTTTCTTTTGTCATTCTTTGTTTACATTCGTGGAACTTGTTTGTCTGAAATGTAACATGTGTTCTCTTAACTGGCCTGCCCACGTTTCTCGTACTCCGAAGGGCTTGAAAACAGTTTGGGTCATAAGGTGAGGAGGGTTCGAGCTGTCCTGCGGAGCCGCCCTCCTGGGTACTTTCTTTCCAACTCGAGATTCTGTGAAGCTCTTCAAGTTGCCAGGATGTTGAACAAACCTGTCTTTTCTATTAAACGCCGGAGTTCACTGAAATGACTAATGTGTCCAAATTTGCAAAAAGGTGGAGGAGGAAAGGGAAGGCTGGTGTAGCAAGCATGACGAGGTTAAATTTTTCGAGCAATTCTGACTAACAGACTGTCCTATTTCTTCTTAGCCCCCTGTGCGTTCTTTGGCTTCAATATACCCTTTAGGAGGGTGTTTTGCAATCATATTTCAACTTTAATGGCTTCATTGCTTTTATGGATAGTTACAAATTTATTTAATAGAAGACAATATGATATTAGAATTATGTAGCCTAATCATTCCCATGATATTATTTCAAGCTTATTGTTGGTTATGTGTGATATATATGTGCTCAGATTACACTTACAGATTTGATAACATTCACTCGACCGAAAAATTTGATGCTCTGAATGCTTTCTCGTGATTTTTTTTCCCCTGGTTTGGTTTACTTTGGACTGTGCAGACATCAGGGACTTCTTTGGGAGAGACATTAATGATTAAATCCAAACCACTTGTCATTTAAAGTAGTATGTAGCACAGAAGGATACTATCATTCACTTCAACCATTCCCAAGTTTATTATGTGAAACTTCATTTCAAGGGCATGGAAACACACCCGTGGAAGAATTCATTGTCATTTCTTTTCTAGAAATGAAGTATTTACATGGTCTTCCTTTCTTCATTGGCCCTTTATAGATGAATTCGTTTGTGTGACTGAGAAAGAATATCCTATAAGAATACCTCAAAGAGGTAGATGTTGCCTGTTACGCACAGTTTTGGTGTTTTGCTAAAATTGATAGGTAGTTTACTTGGAATTAAAATTGCCTTTGGCTTGTTTCAGGCACCAGAACATAACTCCTCTCCATCCCTATCATTAAGGTATAGATCATGTCAAATCCGTAATCTCTAATATTATTTGTTCTTTTAAGATGATTTTAAATTTGAATTGCTATTTCCCAAAATGATGTATCTACTTGTTAGTTTTATGACCAGTTTACTGTTTTTTATTGGAAACCTACTTAAATGAAAATAGCTAATTAGGGTCTGGGAATTTAGCTCAGTGGCGTGCCTGCCTGCCTAGCAAGCACAAGGACATGAGTTCAACTCCTCATCCTCCCCTGCCCCCCCAAAAAAAACTACTCATGAAAATGAATAATTAAAATGGATTGAAACTTACTTTGCTCTCCCATTAAAGAAATACTCAATGCAATTGTGATGTGTTTTTTAGATTTGCCTACTGGCTGGGAAGAAGCATATACTTTTGAAGGTGCAAGATACTACATAAAGTGAGTTTTTAAATGTTTTTCTTTGATAATTCAAATGCCGTGATTTTATGTCCAAACATGCTCATGATTTCTTAAGGCTTATCATTGTATAATGTTGACTTTATTTTATATAGCGTTAGAATTCTGAGAGAAAAAAATGATGTTATTAGTTTTTATTACGTTTGTGTATTTGCTTGTATATTTATTGATTTTAACATTAGAACACGTATGACCACAGTTACTTTTAATGCTGCTTCATATATTCCTGGGTAGAGCATTATAGTTTTTTTATCTTTATGTGACAAAATTTTGGTTCTTAATTATTTTACTGATAGAGCAAACACATGAAAATCTCTAAATTATGTTAGCATCTTTTTTTTTTTTTTGTCTTTTTTTCCTTTTTTATCGGCACCATGGATCAAACTCACGACCATGCACTTGCAAGGCAGGCATGCTTATGCCGCTGAGCTAAACTCCAGCCCCAGCATCTTATTTTTTTAAAAAGTGAATTCTGTTGATGTGTATTTTGACCAGAGCTGTTAATAAGTAGCAAAAATGATGTAAAGCTAAGTACAGTCTGATGAACAGTGACAAAGCTTAAAGTGAAAACAAACAGCAGTATATGGTGAATATCCACAAGCATTTGTTGGAGCAGATGTAATTTTTTTACTTCATATATCTAACCGATGGCCTTGCAGTACTGTGCTTGTGTTTGAGTACAAGGCTATCAGTAGAACTTAAGAGGAAAGATGATTAGATACATTATCCTTAAAACCAGTTCTATTCAATATTGAACTACTTTCAATTCCAGTGTAACTTGGTGGTGCTGAAGGTCAACATTATTCAGGAACAGATTTTAATCTCCCAAGGGAAAATAAAGATGTTTTTGTCTTTGTTTTAAGTTAAAAATTGCTTAACAGCTTTGTTTTGGTTGCTTAACATTGCTTGGTATAATTTTAAGGAGTTATGTCTGAAAGAGAATGTTGAAATACAAGGTTTGGTGGAGATTGGGGTAGTTTATTAATAATAACAGATACCTAGTTGAAAGTATATCTGTTTCATTGGGACTAGTAAGTTATTTTAACCAAGTGACATTTTTAAGCTTGTGCCATACTTCTGTTAAATTATAATTACTTGTATGATTCTTTAAGGTTTTTTTTTGGAAAGGGATTTATAGAAAATTTCAAAGTATACTTATAGATATTAGGAATGGTTGCTTTTGGATGTAAAATTAAAGCGGAAGTGCAAAACAGGAATGGAGTGTTGTCTTGGTGTGATCCTTCTCCATCCTTTTTGTTGTTAAATTTCTTGTTTGGGGTTTGGTCCACATCCTTAAAAACGAAGTAAGGTGCAATTATCAAATATTTTTCTAGTGATTGTTTTCATCTTGAGTTAAAATGAGTTTGTGTTTCTATGAAAAGGGATGTTTTCCCTTTCTGGATGTATTACTGGTATCTAATGGAAGACCTTATGTTTGATTTTGCTTACTCAGTGAAACTTTAAATGTTGTACAGTAAACCATAGGTAGCACTTCCTTTCTTTAACTTCAGTAGATGTGTACATTATTGGGTGATTGTTTTTTTGACAGCACAAAGGCTATGTTTTAATTTAGAACTGAGCTACTTGAAAGACTTTTTTGTTTTACTAGCCATTTCGATTGAATTTTCTTTTTACTTTAACACCAAGTTAGAATCTCATTTGAGTGCTGTATTTAAGTAAGTTGCTCAGGAAAATTAGGACAGTATTAAGAAAGCTATAATAATTTTACTGTAAACTATTTTAAAACTAGCAGGTTTGAATCATGTGGGATTAATGGCTAAGGATGGTGTCCAAAAGTAGTAATGCAGTTATACTATGAAAGCAATTCTTTGTAATATTGAGCATATCATAGAAATACCGTTCATTAAACTTCCTTTAAGTAAACTAACCATTTAAAAATACAGGGGTTAGCCAGGTTTGCTGGAGCATTCTAGCACTTGGCAGGATTGCAATGAACTCAAGGCCAGTCTGGGCTACATGGCGAATTTAAAGCCAGCCTTAGCTGTGTAGTGAGTCTCTTGTCTCAAAAAACCAAATTAATTAATTAATAAAAATACAGGATTTGCTGTGGTTAGGTGCTACTGCTCTACTCTTCTGGGTTGTATCATAAGAATAGTTTCTTTAAAGATTAGTTGAATCCCTAATGCAGGCTATCACTTCCTAGTAACTTTACACTTGTATTATAATTAGGGATGCGTTCTCAGTCTCAAATGAAGGCGGTGCGCACTGCTGTTACTTTAAACTTTATGGAATGTTTGCCTATGTATTATCAGGCCTGGATCTCATTTTAATCATGGAAGTAGTCAAAAGAATTATTGCTTTCATTGTCCCACCACATAATAAAGCAACAGAAACACGCCTTTGGAACTTACATTCTGCAAAGACAGCACAATGAGAAACAGCAGGAACATGAACTAAATTTAGAATATTCAGCATAGAATAAAAGGTAGTAGCTGAACTAAGAAGGTAATTAATCTTGGGCTTTTTTCATTTGTTGTTTCTTTCTTAGATGAAGAAAGGAGGTTATTGATGACGTTATAAGAAAAGGAGGCAGGGGTCGGGGATTTAGCTCAATGACATAAGTCCCTGCCTGGAAAGGGTGAGGTCGTGAGTTTGAGCCCTGGTACAAAAAAAAAAAAGAGAGAGAGAAGAGCAGGGGGTGGACTTTGTGGACTTTGCTCACATGGGAATACAGAAAGGCCCATAAAAAGACACCTTGGCCCTATGGTTAGTCTTGATCTGTTTTCTGGAAGGTTCCCAAAGTAACAAAGAACTTGAGTTGTCTCTGCTTTGGTTCTCAAGTGTGAAGTACCATGAACTCTCAGATTATTCCTTCCCTGAAAAAAAGCGCAGTGCCAAGTAGAATTTGTATTTGGAGAATATTTTAGTATTGACAGTTGCATTTCCCCAAGTCCTCAGGGAAAGCAGATATGCTCATGGGGGAGCCATAAAAGCTAGACTGTGTTCTTGCTGTTCTTACAGCTTTGGAACTCAGTCTTCACATCTTGATAATAGGCTAGTTATAAAATCCACCTCTAAATACTACCCCATTTATAACTTGGTTTGAATTTTATTCTGTTCTTGGAATTTATAGTATTCTACAAAATGATAGATTCACAATGTCAAGAAGAGATGATGTGGGAAATACAACAATCTGTTTAGCTTTCTTATCAGCTTAACTGTTTTCTTGTTCTTTAAGTTTTGTATGGATAACTAGAGAAGTGAAGTGTGTAGTGCCAGAGTTGTGTGCATTTTTTCTGTTGTTGCCTTTTGGGCTTAATATTCCTTGTAAAGTGTTTGTGTGGTGTCTTCCCTGAAGAAGCTTTATGGAAACCAGTAATAGTTTTAATGCCAGCAAAGGATGTGATTAGAGTTTTTACAGAATTGAGTTAGGATGATCAATTTTCTTTACATGCTTAAAAATTGGTTCTTTAATATATGCCTACAATTAGGTGACAAGATAGATAGATAATCCAGAGAATGTATTTTACTTTGCATCCACTGGCCAAAACAGTGGTAGTACATAACAGTCTTGACAAGTGTTTAATTATGATACTTTAATTTTTTTTACCAAAAAAAAAAACCCTTAATTTTCATGCATTTTAAGCTAAGTTACCTCTAAATTATTTTTGTGTTGTGTGTATAAATTTGAATTTGATTGCTGTCTTGCCTTGTTGCCATTTAAAACAGTTCATGCTCTTTATGTTCAACAATAATATTGAAAATGGTTATCAGTGAATTTCGTAACTTAGAAAATACAGCTTTAAATATTTCATTTTCTGTTCTTCATTTATATATTTTTTAAAATTTTTGTTTGTTTGTTTGTTCTTTTTAAAATATTCCATTTTCTTACCGAGTATCAGACAGCAGCCTATAAAGTACAGAAGATAGTCCTAATGTATTTGAAAGTTATAAAGCTTTCTGCCTACACCTTGAAAATGGTGCTTAATAACCTTGTAATGACAGGTCAGAGCAATTTAACATGGATATGTCACTAACTATTCCTTGTGCTTCAAAGCATTATGATGGTTAATCTAAAGTGCCAAGCATATCTTAAAACAATGCTCTAACTAGTGAGAAACTGTCCTACTTATTTAAAAATCATTGTTTTATATAGCAGGGCTGGTAATCAAAATGATATTTGCATGGTAGTACAGTAGGATGCAGAATTTGTGAGGTATTTTAAATCGCCTTTTCCCTAAATTTTAAGTTTTAAAAATTGAAGTGTTTCTTGGATGTGCAAATAAAACAGTGTTACAATTTTTGCTAATAAGGTTTCATTTCAGTGTCTTCAATAGTTGGAATCTAATGTCTGCTAATAATTCTAGACAATGAAGGGATTTCTGGTATGATACAGATATTTAAGGTGGGAAGAGATGGAGGGGAAAAAAGGCTTCTGTTCATAGATTATCACAGTTCTACATAATGTGAATAAATATGAGGGAAATCACATAGCTACGATAAGAACTTTAGACTATATTAAATGTTTTGTAGTTAAAATTGTTTTGTAGCTTAGTATTACAATAATAATAGATTTTGATTACTAGAGCAATATAATGTTTAAGAACAATTTGTAGATGTTAAATTTCTTTCTCACGTTTAGGTCTCAGCCTTCAAGGAGTTGGTAGTATACAGAAAAACATGCAGTATATTAAAAAGGAGCATGGTATACGGAACATGGACTTATTTAGTGCTAGGTGCTTCACCATAACATTAAACTCACATAATCATCACAATAGTCTTTTCTTGTTACCTTTTCTCTTTATCTCCACCATGCTTTTTATGACATTGAAGCTCTGAGAGGTTAAGGGCGTATTTATTATAGGTCATAAAGCTTTATTGTTAGTCATTAGTACTTAAATTAAGGTCTCTGGGCTAAAATGTCTTCGTATATAAAATTACAGAGCAGTATATACTAGTAGGTCCTACAATATATGTCCCTTCATGAGTTGGTTGCTTAGGATTTGAGGGGTAGTATTTCA